TGAAATATACACTGAAACTTAGAGCAATGTCTTCACCTCCACATCCCCCTCCTCCCACCACATTTGCTTCTTGACAACTACTAACAATAAATGTAAAAGTAATCCTAGTTTTTATTTGAAGCTATCTCAGCTTTAAAAGAACCTTCCAAATATGATTGAGGCTATGATTTAAACCCATAGGTAACCCCTGAAATCTGCTTTGAATAGCAACAAATGCCTAACAAGATCTTGAGCGCTTGCAGCAAAGAAATCTAATCTCTGAACTCCTAAAGGTCAAGATTTACTGCCTGGTAACATGGCTCAAGTGTAAATGCTCTGTAATGCTACAGCAGGTGATTGCTTTGCTCTCTAGACAGTGTCAATTTTGCCCAAGTAGCAGCAGATGTGTCTAGCATTAAGCCAGAATGGTGTCAAGGGCCCTTCTTGAACAGAACTGCTTCTCAGAGAAACTGGTCCTAAAGCCCTAGTCTATTAAGACCATACCCAAAAGACAGACATTTAAAACTTAAAGGATGCTGGAGAATCAAGGTGCTTTAGAGCCTTGATTCTAAATTTCAGAGTCCAATATCCTGGGAGAAGAAATTCTCTTGTGATGCAAGCACACATCCTCAAATATGCAAGCACAGCCTCCACTGCACAAGCCTGCCAGGGCAGCTAAAGTAACTCACACCAGAAAAGTATTTGGCTCTGAATATTCTTCCTTCCAAACTTCTTCCTCCTGAATTTCCTCAGTGAGGTGCTACCATGCTAACATTTAATGTTGGTGCTCCTACTGGGGGTGCTTCTGCATGCCCCAGCTTCCTTACCCAGGCCATTTATGCCCAGTACCTACAGCAGCTATGAAATCCTAAATCTACTTGTTGAAATCATTCACCATTGCTCTGACCTCTCCAGGCTACAGAGGCACAAAAATTAAAGATTTAATTACATTAAATACTACCTGTTTTTATATGATACATTCTAAGTCCAAGAATAAGAAGATAGGGAAGCACATTCCATTTGCAAACAAAGACCTGTAATCAGTTTGCAGAGATCCAGTGCACTTTAATTCTACTTATGTAAAAGAAGCACCATAAAATGATTCCAAAAGCAACAGTGGAAGTTCCTCACACACTTTCACATATCATACTCCAACACTTGTGGCTGCAGGCCGAACCCTTTCCCAGCAGAGCTTTTATCCAGCTGTTGATAGCCCTTCCCACCACCTTGGTGCTGCTGGGCATAGACACTCCAAAGGCTTCAGGAAACACAAAACAGTGTTTCTCATGCCTGCAGTCTCTAAAGAATATTCATGGAGAAGTTTAGGACAGCTTGAGGGCCAGCTAAAACCAAGGACAGAATTGCCCAAGAGTCTGAATTTGGTCTCACTTGCATTTCAAAATAGGTCAGTGAAGACAAAGAAGGAATGCAGGTATGATTTTCAGGATGTAGCTGAGGACAAGCTTTCCTTCCATGCAGATGATACTTCTGAAAGAGATGATTCCAAATACCTGTACTTGGGCTGAACAACATGGAAACAACTTGGCTGTCAAAATGGAACTTAGCCTGTTGAACAGGAATTTAAGTGGAATATTCTCTACTTGTTACAGGGATTAAATTGTCCTGGATAACTTGAGATTTTCTGTTTTCCCTCCAAGAACATTTAGAAAAGGTTTTAATAGAATTCAGACATGATTAATAAATACTTTGACAACTGTATAATTACCCAATGTGTATTCCAACAAATGTAGCCCATTCTGATTTCATCCAGCTGAGAATTCTTTGCTCTTCACATAATACAGTTTCTTGCATGGGGTTGCTTTGTGTTGCAATTCCTGGCTCGGGTGCTTTGTGTTGACTTGGCATACACACACGTCACGTCTGTAAATTACCTGTAGATATTTAAGTTACCTAGTAGGCTTTTACACACCAGTTCTAGATGAAAATCAGTATTACAGTGACTGAGGTCTTTATGTAAACATTGTTTCTGCAAGTCTGAATCTTGATTTTGGGCTTCCCAAGAGCAGAAAATAATCTCTCCCTCAAATTAAACTTTTCATGGAGGCAGTAAGCAGCCTTTAGAAAAAGCTCTGACAGACTCTGTTTATGTGTAGAAGTCATACTCGGACAGCTTAAAAAAATGAATGTAAAATCCTACTGCAATCAACAGAGTTTAAAATTAATTACATTGGCTGAGTCTCTGGCTTTAAATCATACAAGTAATTTCTCTAGTGCTAGCAGAGTAGGCATCCCTGCCAGACCTCACTGGGAGCTTGCTCACCTATATCATTTGAAGTAATCCTTTTGAGGTCTTATTTATGGATGCATGGCAAGCACAATGCCATCCAGCCCCATGCTGAGCATGCTGTCATTAAGCAGTGAATGGCAGCAAATGCAATTTAACTTCTCTGAACAGCATCATTTGGAATAGTCCCAGGAAAACCCAGCCTAAAACTAATTTCTAGCTGCATCAGATATGTAAGTATTTACAGAGCTCTTTGTAAACATACTGCAATTAAAAACATTTAATAGAGAACAAGCCCACTTTACCATATGGCAAGTCATCTTCAGTTAAGGCAAGAGAGCCTTAGTGTCTGACAAAGAGGGCAAGGGAGACAGACTGTAAATTCCCAAGACTTGACAGAAAAGGGGCCCCCAAAATAGCTTATCTGTGTTGGAATTATGACGACGACATAGAAAAAGTAGCACCAGGCCTCAAATCTTTGCCATGGGATACAAAGACACCTGTAAAAATCCCTGAGTAGGACCAACACAACTTACATGAAAAATAATTGCTTCAAACAGCAGGAAGCATAAGGTACAGCATTATCCCAGAATATCCCAACCTGTTAGTGCTGTCAAGAAATGCATCAGGACATTATTCTTCATCTACACAAAGCTTTCTCTCAAGTTAAAAATTCACACACAAAGTTGGCATGAAGGGAAAAGGCTGACAGTGGAATGGAAGTTATACCTGATTGCTTCAGCAAGACCCTTAGAGTCCCCTTTCAGGATACATTTGGTACAAGATAATAAAAAGATGACTCAGAAGATTCAACCAAACTCTTGAAATCGCTCAGAAGCACAGATTTCTCCAAACAAACCACAGCTCCAGCAGCAACAGGTCTCCCTCTGTGCCACGAAAAGCAAAGGTCTGCTGCACAAGAAGGTCCAGGGTACCAGGATTCAGTCACCTTCCAGAACTCCCTGCGGCAGCAGTTCAGAGGATGACTGGGTAAAATACAAGAAGGGATGGCCAATGCTTTGCAGAAAGTGCTCTAAAATACACAGAGAGAAAAACAAGAACTGGAACAGGCAAGGCCTAAGCCAACAGAGAGAGAAGCTGCCTCACTTCATCCCCATGCTGGCCCACTCTCATGGAATTTGGCAACCTGCAGGGAAGCACATCTTAACATGCTCAGAGTGAGCCTTGGCACAGCCAAGAACACCCCCCCAGTGATCCTGGTGATTAGAAGTACCTGTGCAAAGTCTGTTTTTTATGTAACTTTGACAGGATGTCTGAGTAGTCTGATGGCTCAGAAACACCTGAGTAGTCTTCAGTGGATTAAATGCTTTCATAACAGGTTGAAGTTGAGTGACATTTTTAAGCTCCTAGGTGAACCAATATGCAAAACTAATGAGATCATAAATTTTTCCTCCAGTTAATGTACTAGGTGGAGGATGTGGAGCAGAGAGAAGCAGGAAGATGAGAGGCTGCCCAAACACATGAGGCTGATTAAACCAATTTAATCTGCAACAAAGAATAAGACCCACAGAAGCAGAGCCATTATTCACTGGGCTACAGTATCCCCACCAAGGATACAGACATCAGCTGCTCTGACTGCCCAGGGTCCAGACTAACTCAGTGCTTTTAAAGTTACAGCAAGAAACTGAAACACAGGGTTGTTGAACAAGAAAGCCACATCCCTTTTCCTTTTAAGGTTCAGTAAAATAATGCTGCTGTCACACCCAATAACTGCAGTTTTCTGCATATTACCTTTGGAAAGCAATAGGGACAGTCTGGCAATGGCTGTCACTGCAGGAGAGGGGGGCAGGTTACACGTGCACCACCTGAATTGCTGCTCCTACAGCACCAAACAAAATGCACACAGTGTCACTGCAAAAGGCAACACAACCTTATACCTTGACTCTGTTAGCAGTACCACACATCAACAGAGACAGACTGAAGAAACAGTAGGTAGATCCAGAAGAAACCCACTCAGAGCAACGCTTCCCCTACTGTGTTAGTTACAGTAACCACCAGAACATGAGACCATCTCAGCCAAAATTCTTGCTGTTTTTATTCTTACAACTCTCGAGATGAACGATTGGTATTCTCCAGAGGTACTGTTTTGCTTATATATACATACACAGACCAACTTACCAAAATTAAACCTATGCATATTAAATTGCTCATTATGTAAATGTTGTTAAAAATAATGGTATTTTATCTTAGTAAAAAAATAGCTGCTTGCAAAGTAACTCCTTATTTCAAAATTCAAGTTCAGTAAGTCTAAACCTTGGCACATTTGTGAAAAAGCATCCATCAAAATCCTGTCTTTTCCTGGAGGCAGAAATACCAAGCACTGCCACAAGCCTCCTCACTGCCAGATGGGGAATGGACTGGCATCGCACAAGGTGTGTTGCAGCTGCTGGGAAACAGCACATGCAGGCGCTTAATGATCTCATTCTTGTTTAGCTTGGAAACCCTGAGTGTCCAAGTTGAGACTTGCTTTACTTTTTTAGGGGTTCCTCCCTTCTCACCAGCCACAGACTAGAGTAAATCCTAAGCATGATGCAACTGAGGTGTTATTCATATGGTGCTTGGGGAAGATGGTCAGATTTTGGGTTCACCAGGACTTCATACATGTGCAAGATAAACACAAGATGAGCAAACTCCATGTTTGTTTGAAAGTTAATCCCATTTCCCCAAATATTCAAGCATAGGCTCATGCTAATTAAAGTGGAAACAGTCACATTTACTCACTGCAGCAGCATCTCTCTGTGCTTCTTCCTCACAGGGACAGTCAAGGTAACAAGTCAGGGAAGCTGGAGTTCCCAAACAACCTGAACTGAATACTTGACACGTAAGTCTGACCACAAGAATTGCTTTTCTGAATTCCTTTCAACAGATCTGTAACACTTCCTATATTTCTGTACAAATTTCTTCTTTCCTTTTCCCAGCTCAGTACTGAAAGAACACTACACTACACTCTGTTCAGCTGCTGCTTCTTTCCCTGTTGATTAACACTGGTTTGAGTTTTCCTACACAACAAGCTTTGTGTCTCAAATTCATAATTGAGACAGAGAAAGGAAAGTCCACTGCCTGGCAGGCAATCCCAAAGCACAGGAAACCAGATCAGCCCCAAATTTCTTTGTGAATTCTGCTAAATGGGATACAGCAAGGTTCTCAAATCTTAGCTCCAGCCTCTGTGTCTCAAATCCTATTTTTTCTCAGTCTTGTGGGTGAAGTTCTTAAGAGACTAAGGCAATAATATTAAGGAATCAAGACTTTCCAGTGGTAAAGCCAGGCTATAATATACTCTGTTGATGGAAAATATTTGTTAGTCTTCACTTCCCGCATCACCCAACAGATAGGATTTCACATTGACCCAATTCTTACCTTAAACACACCTTCTTCCTGATAACACCTAAATTCTTACGTTGTTCACCTGCAGATCATATCTTTGCCTTGTGCTGTGCACCACTGGCTATTAAGGATTGAAAGGAGACCAGCCTATTTCTATTATAGCCTTGGATTTGAATTACAGAAGTGTTAAAATTCCCAGCATGAGACCACAACTGAAATGAGCTAGGCCTTAATTAAACAGAGTTTGAAGCTCATTGTTTAATTAAACAGATGTAAGTGCCTAATCATTCAACTATTCCAAGAATACACTGCATATATTTAATCTCCCCACCCACACAATGAAGGCACAGCTCTAAGACTTCACTGCAAACTATTTCAAATTAGGCAGCCTATGCTTTCAACACAAAAAAGAAATTTCCAATGGCTAGACAAGCATGTAAAAGAAGAATGAATGTGAATTTACTGAGAGAGTCACTTCTAGTACAATGTGTGTGAAATGAGAATCTCTCTATGGTGCAGCATACCCACACCTCTTAATTATTCTAACTTACAGAGGCCACACGATGAAAGGCCTTTCAACACCATGAATGCCTTTCAAACAACACTCTTGCAACATATAGGATACTGCATAGATCCTTGTTTGGGCAAAGAAGATAAATTTTCCTCAGAACACTTCCAGAAAGCCTGGGCTGTGTGTACACACATCCAGGCAATGCCTCAATGATCTACCAGAGGAACCAACCTACAGTGCTACAATCTGCCTTGTGTGGCCCAGGGGAGAGGCCTGACAGCAGAGGAGGGAAGTACTTTTCTATACATCCTTTTTGTGTAGCAGTCATAAGATTACTACTTCCTGCAGCAGAAGAGTTCATCTGAAAGCAGTTTGCTGCATGGAGGGAAAATCAAAATTGATATGTCAGGCAGTCAGCTTTTTACCCCAATCAGGCAGAGAAGCTGTAGGTACATTCCATGTTCAACAGGAGAGTCACCAAAAAAGGACCCTCCTGACATGTCCAGCCACCTGTTTCCATCCCCTGTGCCAGTGGCTACTGTCCTCTCAGGCTGCACTATGGCATGCACTGAGGGTGGCAGTGTGACAGAAAGCATAGTCCCTTGTCTCCCTTACACAGTGACTTCAATGTCAAACCTGTGGTGCCAGCTCATATCCCAGCAACAGAGCATTACTCAGCTGGATCAGGTTTGGCTGAAAAGAACTCACTGGCCTAGACCAGTAAAGCACAGGGAAAGCGAAAAGATGAGGAAGGTGTTAGGGATTGGGTTGGTTTTGTGAAACAAATCCATGCAGGCTTAAGAATGTACATCAGATTATTTATATTGCTGTCATTATTTCAAATGGCAGTTAATTTTTAATTATTTAAAAGTGAACAGTCAAGTTAATTTCTGCAGTGTTGTTCAGAGGACAGGCAAGACAGCAGCCTCACCATAGCAAGAACAAGAGGCAAGAGCAGAAGAAGAACTTCTCAGATAAGCTTTACCCAAAGGCTTCATTAACAATGCAGACTTGGCTGTGCCCAGCACTAGCACTTTGACCTGAAGACTCAGGTACCTGCAGCCAGTTTTAACAATGAGATAAACAGGTGGAGTGTTCACTGCTTCCTTACAGGGGAGCAGGATCAGACCTTTGCAAGGGAACGGAAGTCACTTATTCATAGTATCAAGCCAGTGGCCTGACACATCCTGGATGTCTCAACAATCCAGTAGTGAGCAAAGCAGGCAGCCCCACAGCACAGAGAATGTGCAAGTATTTATCCTGCTTGGCACGAGGGAGTCCTTTCTACTCTTATTGCCCAAATAAGCAGCCCAGGCTTTAGCCCTTACAAGTATCTGAAAATTGTCTGAACTTTTACAGATACCCAGCTATGAAGTCGATTACTGAAAAAGCACAAGACACACTTGCAGCAATTACTTTTCTGAAACTACACATCAGGTGGGAAATAAAAATATGGCAACTGTTACATGAGGGATAATCAAAGACATTTGGAAACAAATGATTCTAGCTCAGCTTTTCTGTTCCTCAGTGGTAACAGGGTCACACTTCCTGGCATGTGTCTTTCTGCAAGAGACCAAGTAATTTTGGATAGGTTTCAAAGTGAATAGTACAATGCAATCATATAGGTTTTTTTCCCATATGTAGGGAAAAAATGTACCAGGAGAGGATTATTCCAAAATGGTAAATTTTTAGTCTTTGTGCTGGGTTTTTCTGCAGACTGTAAAGTAAAAAGAAAAACAGAAATTTAATCTTCATATCAGCCAGTGCTAACAAATGACCGTGTGCTCCCAGTAATGTTGCAAAGCGACAGGATTCCTGTTGTTAAACTTGATGAGCAGCAGCATCGCCGAGGAACATGTAACAACCGGTGAACTTTCCACAAAGACACTTTGCTTCCCATAGATCTCCATACATAACCTTTACTGGTCTCAGTAGGATCATTACATCCATTAGACTGTGGACTCAGCACTGCTTTAGCTCTTAAGTTAATACAACTGAGACTTTTTTTTTACTTTCCTATTGGGAAGTAGCATGTGCAATTTTAGTGATTTCTTAGATCATTCTATAAGTAAATCAAATATTCTTTCAAGCCTAGTTATCAAAATTGTGTCCTTTGATACTACATCCTCCATCAAACTGCAGTAATCCAGATCAACACATTTTAAACCTCCACTATCTCTCCTAATATCATTCTAGCAGATAGAGTAATTAAATTTGTACATTTTTTTAAGTCCTACTCAATAAATCTGAATAAATTAACAACGCATTACTAAGGCTGCTACATTAAATTTGCATAGTGCATTTAATGAATATGCAACTGCAAGTGAAAAGGTCTGCTACTGTGAACCTTCCACATTAGCATAACTACTTCCAGCATGTTTCTTAAATAATGCACTCATTTGCACATCACTGACTTGGCTAATTCTGACTTCAGTCAGGGTAGCCTTGTAATTAAGACTCTTGCTTTAATTTTTAATGAAGTTTATGTTACATCAATCCTGACAGTAATGAGGGGACATGGAAACAAAAAGGCTGCTAATAATTAAATTCACAAACCAGTTTGAGGGATAATAATTCCTGAGGAGAAATTACATGACTAATTATTAATTAAATATTCATACTATTGCAGGGCCATCTCCCTTAACTGCTCCTTCTTGTTGGTAATAATGCTGAGATGTGGATGCCTCCTGCAACCATTCTGATTTTAAGGTCTTTGGTTAATTTTAGTGCACCATTAATCAATATGACACAAAAAATAAAATTGCTTTAATTGGTATCACTTTATTGTTTCTAAATATTACTACAGTTGGTTTAGTTGTGTAGAATTAATCTAGTTAGTCGGTGCCCATTTTATGGCAACATAAATCCAGTTTATATCCATAAACTTCTAATGGCAGGACAACTTGACCTTTTTTTGTAACATTACTGTTTACAGATAATTACACCAACTCTTTAAAAGGTTGTTTAATAGCTTTGCATTCATCATAGTAAAATGAAAAACATGCATATTATTTAACTCCAGACTGTTCTAAGAAGGTCTCAAAGACCCTAATTTACCCCTGCTGAAAAGTAAGCAATATTAATTTGTGTATTTTTAAGAAATCTATGAGAGCTTTTCCTCAAATGCATACAAACAGATCGAAAGTGTTTGTGTATGGATCTCTATTGATCTTTCACACATGTTGGATGACATATATAACAGAATAACAGCCCTTCAGTGACATCTTTCACAGAAAGAAAGATGTTGGTGTGTGGCTTTTCTATCACAGAGGTCTTGAATTGATACTTTTCCAATCTCTCATATACAGATAATATAAATTCCCATAGGAATTAGAATGATTAATCCTAATTTATGTCAAAATTTCTATCAGCCAGGATTCTACTTACTGAAAGTGTCATAATACTCCTTTAGGATTACATATTTACTAAAAGAAGTCTAGTTTGTAGGAAAGTTTAGCAGGAGGAAAGAAATTCCTTAAATGAAGCTTATTAGTCACCAAACTCAGTTGGATTATGAATTTGTTTTAAAGTGTATCTTAGTGCTTTAAAGAGAGAGTATTTTGCATAGCATAAAATTGATTCTCAAATTATTAAAAAGACATAAAGCATGTCCTTTTATCCTGAAGGGGCATTTGGAAATTCTGAACCAGGGCAAACATTTCATTTTTCTAATAATTCAAACCAGTTGATTCATCAAAGTGAAACAAGTCCATCACCATACATGGGGCAATGATTCCCTTTAGCAAGCACTTGTCACATTACTACAATCTGACAGGTTTGTAGGGCATTATTACTAGCTCTGATTTGTACCAATCTATCCCTTTTACTAAATCTTAAAAATCTTTTTAACTTTTCTTTCTTCCTCTACTCTCTTAAACTAACACCTGAAGGCAATTTAAATATACCACTCCATAATGAAATAGCACTTTCATTCTCTCTAGAATTAAGATGTCATTATCAACCATCTGTTCCTGGTCCTGCTCTCT